AATTTATTATTGATGAGTAATCTTATAACGAGCCTCTTTCTTTTTCACATTGGTGCTGTTGAAACGTGACTGTACTCGCTGTAATTTTTTTTTTTTGCTCGGCTATTTGTACATGGTAATATATGCCAACCAATGTTTGTATGTACCCCTTTCCCACGTGAGCGAGTCATCGTTGTTACATATTTTCAAGAGTTGGCTCAATCAATAAAATCGATTTGACATAGTAATGTTGTCAATACAGACCGTTCTAGTAATTATTGTACATAACGCATTATCTGCGTAAGTCAAGCTGCACGTGGCTCGTAGGATCGACAAAACCATCTCCGAGAGAAAGCAAAGGAAATCTCACCCTCCCCCACTCTGGAAAAAAATCTCGGTAGTCCGATTCATCCACGCGCTCTCTGTGCCTTCGTACAGTCGTGTCCGTGATGCGTAAAGAGCAAAGTCAAAGCCGTGTGTATACGGGGCCCTTGGAACCTAAGTATGCCACGCTCGTACGCGTGGCACTTTATCTATATGCAGCCGGCTGTCCATTATAATGCCGGGGGAACCCATCAAAAACTTAAATATAGGCACATTGTGATATGGGACGAGCGTAACAATGAAAAGAGGTATACATAGGCAAGGGAGTTAAAAGCCAAAGTGAAGAAGGGGGTTGGCCCGTTGATGTTGTTGTTACGTTTGCGTACAAAAATATTCAGGCGCACACCTAGATATGTATGGAGGATCGTCGTTTAGCGGGCCAGCTGCATCTCGTTGTCCCCGAGGCGTGCGAGGAAAAACACGTGCTCCCCTCATCCTCCTCATCTTCTAGTGGTGCATCTGCCACGCGCCAACCATATACGGATAGTACTGTCGTACACCCCGTCTTTTTACTGTATACCGACTCACTCTTCGTAGGTACAGCATCTATTGTATGAGGCAACATCACCGTGTGGCAATCTATGATTTTCCACGGCTTTCCAGCTGCAAGTCTCTTCCGTATATCTTGAAATGTCAAGCGTCAATTTCTCTAAATTTGGGTCATTTGGGGGGACGCGTTTCTCCCTCCGTATATTAATTCCGATTCATACGATCCTTGACAATTATCGAAGGTATATAATACTCGAGTATCCGCAGGATCTCTAATCCCTTCGCACCTTTTTTTTTTTTTTATACTCTTACAAGGTTCATTGAGTATCATTCGTGTGTGCGACTATACGTATACATTATACCAACCACATAAGGGCAGCGATGGGCTTCTTTTTTTTTTTCTTCAATACTCGGTCTCGCTCGAATCTGTGAGTCAGAGAGCCGTTTAAAGCAGAGCGCCGAAAAGGACTTGAGTGTAATGATCATCTCCGATCTTGAATGGCGAGAGCCAATTACTTGGTTAGTCCCCCCCCCCTCTCTACTCTTGATTATATTCTCACGTGATGTTCGCTCGTGACGATTACCCACACACAGTACCTATTAGTAGGTATGGCACACACAGTCCGATCCCGAAGCCCGAATTCAATGGGTGTCCGTGTGCGCGGAATTGCTCGCGCTCGGCTGCCAACAACGTCATTCTTTCGAGTTTCCTTTTGACACTTGGCTCAATACCGTTATACGTATAATACACACGTGACATACGTGCCACGTCCGTGGTTATTGCCTGTGAAAATGAGAGACGTCGCGTCTATATATATAATATGGTCGTGTCGGTGCGACTACAGTGGTACGTATACGCGCGTGGGTGGTGCATTTGGTCTACTATGGTAAAGCATCCTACCGACGCGTCTCCCCTCGTCGCGTGGATTTAATGAATTTTCGCTCGCTCGCTCGTTTGTCAGCCGTTGAGTTATACGCGATGGTACGCGGTGCTGAAAAATTGTTTTTTGATCCATGGGCTCTCCATACGTACGTAGCGATTGCTCCTGATCAATTTGTCTGTCGTGATTTGCGTTTCACTTTTTTTTTTGTTTTTCCATTAAATTTTCCTTTTAACTTGATTGATTTTTTTTATTTTATTTTACTTTTTCCTTGAAATACAGTAAGCCATTATTGCTCGGAATGCGAGTTATCGCAAACGACGAGCCGAGAAAACGTAAACTTTCAAACTGAAAATACAATGTATATTCATGCACGACTTTCTTTTTTTTATTCTTTCAACTCAGATTTTCAGTGTACAGTTTACAATGATCCTCGAGTCGTACGTGACCGATAAACTTGTAGTAAATCCAGAGCTAGCACAAAACCGACACAAAACTCCCGGAGCAGAACAGCGAGACCCTTTGTTCTCGGTATCATCGCCGACACAATCGACCCGTGTCCAGGCAATTGAAAACCCATAAATTTTCCTCTCCGTGACTCACGACGAAAAAAAAAAAACAAAAAAAAAAAAAAACACACAACACAATACCTCGAAATTAGAAACAATAATCCCGAAAATCACCCTTCGACGAGAGATGCACGTTTAGTCACACGCCCGGTGCAGTGTGCGCACATATTGTACAAAGAGCGAGAGTGAACCGTTTAAAAATAAATTAATCTCAATATAATACAATATTCCTGCTTCCCGCGCGTACCCGTCTTTCATTCTCTCGCCGTCACGCGCGCGTATNAAAAAAAAAAAAAAAAAAAAAAAAAAAAAAAAAAAAAAAAAAAAAAAAAAAAAAAAAAAAAAAACGAGTACTCCTGTATATACGCGCGCGAGAGAGGAGGGGAGAAGTCAAGATCCACCAGGTCATGCCCAAAGAACGTACAGGCGACGAGATAAATATCGTAAACGATCCAGCGCGCGTCCATAAACCAAAGAATACATGTGTCACGGGGAGGAGGGAGGTGGAGAAGAAAAACGCGAGTGGCCGAGATGATTTGTTTCCCCGTTTCCGGGCTCCTTTACAGGTCCTCCGTGGTCCATTGGCACGTGTATATGTATACCTACGTACAGCGGAATAGGTGCACACGGAGGAGGAGGAACAAGATAGCGCCCCTCGTACGGACGTACCCCGCTAGAGGGTCGGGGGAGAGCGATGCATCGAGCACACATCGCGATACAATATTGCCCAGTTTCTCCCGTGGCAGATGTTTTCCAGTATTTTCTTTCCTTTTTTTTTCTTCCTCTAAATTCTCTCTCGGGGTTTGCGAGCTAGAGTCCCGTGTGTGCGTGTGGGTACGTACGCGAGATCTCGAGGTGCGATACACACACGTGTACCCTTGGGTGTGCTTGGTAGCGAGCCTGCCTGCCGAGGATAGATTAGGGACGTGGCAGCTTCTATATAAATTATACTTATATCCTTATACTTTTGCATTGTGTACTTTACCATTACTTCCTATACAATGTTATTTGGGTCTAATTCATATATATATATATACCTACGGGTCGTAGTTTTGCATATGCACGCTCTGTGTAGGGGATTGGTAGTGCACGTGTTCGCTCTTTTGCTACTTTGAGACCCGAGAAAGCTGCTGCGTCCATTGTTGTTGTCGATGGCTTCGGAAATGATGAATGCATAGGTGTGACGAACCAATATGCCCCCCTTTTATTTTTACAACGTGCATCTGCGTGTACCAAAAAAAAAAAAAAAAAAAAAAAAAAAAAAAAAAAAAAAAAAAAAAACACACAACACAATACCTCGAAATTAGAAACAATAATCCCGAAAATCACCCTTCGACGAGAGATGCACGTTTAGTCACACGCCCGGTGCAGTGTGCGCACATATTGTACAAAGAGCGAGAGTGAACCGTTTAAAAATAAATTAATCTCAATATAATACAATATTCCTGCTTCCCGCGCGTACCCGTCTTTCATTCTCTCGCCGTCACGCGCGCGTATAAAAA